TTATAAAACCCCCAGATATAAATTCTCTTCCAACTTTGTACCCCCAAAGTTGTTGGTGTATAATTCAAGTTATACATAGTATATAATCTACATCTAAAATAAATTAAATAAATTACATTACTGATTATTCAGTGTTTATCATAAAATAATACATATATATTTTTTAAAAATTTCACGTACCCCCTAAGATGTCTTCGCGTACCCCAGGTTGAATACCACTGACTGATTTCGTTTTTAGTTTTGTGGATTCCAGGATCTGGTCGCCAAGGAACTGAGGTCGCCAGACCCCAAGGCGAGTAATATAAACACAGACACTGACTTTTCCGTCTTGTTCTGTGTCTTATGAGCCCCGTCCACGGAATGCCCAGTACGAACTTAACAGGATAGGGGAAGCCAAGGCTGGAATGTGGCTAATCTTTCAGGACAATAAAAATGGCAGTACAGAAGTGACACAGAGGAGGAACCTGATAAAGACCACACACTACAGTAATCTCGTTAACCATTAGCAGCTTAAGTGAAGCCTGTTCAGTGCTATTTGACAAATATGAAAAATTAATTATTTAAAGGTTACGTATCAACGGCTGATGAGATGTGAGAATTATCGTAAACTGAAGAAGAGACAGTGGGGAGGGGGGGGGGGTTAAACGGTCGTGGCCTACTTCATAATAATAATAATACGCCTCGAAAGTGGTGCAGGGAAAAATGGTGCAAAATATTACAGTAAAATAATGTCCGCATTGTCTGTCTTGCTTCAATAACTTTCGAACGAAAGGATGGAATTCCACGAAACTTCGTGTGAATATAATGACACAAGAGACCATCCCGGTATTGCACCTTTCAATTCCCTGCTATCAGTAATACCAACATGGCGCCCGTGCGAAGTGATAAGATCGGAGAGAAAGAGACAGAGAGGCCTACTATTACGACTTTATGTTATGAACAGGGCGACTAGAAAAAAATGCAACTCTTAACGAGGCAATAATTTTGTAGAATATTAAATAACAAAACGGCAGCAGCTCTGTCATGCGATGTATGCAGTGTCAATGTGGCACAACACACAGATCCACGTACGAAATAACTAACGCCACTGCAAATTAGGTTCATTGTACCGCACGGTCCTAACATGCAATCAACTGCGTCAGATGAGTTCGGGTATTCCGATGAAGCAGCACATGAGAAACGTCGAATACAACTTTGAACAAGCACCATTACGGAATTTATGGGGGAGGGAACTGGAAGGAGTTTTTCTGGCTCAGGAAAGAGCTCTTGCGAGCACATACTGAACCTACGGATTCCAAAAGACGAGGAATTTCGTGACAAATGTTCAGCGTACTATCATCTTCTCAAGACTGACTCTTGCTTTGTGGAGTTAAGTCCTAGGGAATGAGGAAAGGCAACGCCTGTAGGAATTTGATAAGACCACGGCTGTGATGCTGATTGAAATAATGCGGTCGGCAGTCTCGATTTCACAGTCTCATGGACTGAAACAGTCACGAACATGAGATTTTTACTTCAGAGGCCCTTTCAGTCTCATTGCCAATGAACTTTCTTCCACAATTACAGAGCTGTCCCCAAAAAGATGTACACACACATTCAATGAATGAAATAAAGGCATCCATCCTCAATGAAGTTCTTAAATTCAAATACGATTAAGCTTTTCTGACAAAATTTTGTTGGGAAATGGCTTAGCCAATTACGGAACAGATATTTATAAGCCTATGAGCTGCAAAAGGTATTTTTTTCTATTAATTCAGTTCATGTTGAGATAAACACCACACCACTAAGACGTATAAGATTGGGGGACCTAAAGCTCCACGCTTCGACCATTTTAACCCTGGGGAAGGAACCTCGAAGCCCATTTGATAGCAGGGTGTGCGGGAATCGAACCACTGTTACGTAGCCCGTAGTGAGTCACGTGTAACTTTTAATAAATGACATTTCAAAAACCGGATATGAAATCGCAGGCACGCTGTCGGACAAGAACAAATAAAATATTTCTGCACAGTTTAATGAATAGAACAATGCTCTTTCTGGAAGGGAAGTTGTCCTCCATATCAAACTAAATGTGTTTAAAGTTTATGATTCTTACTAAAACTGCAATGCTGTGTGCATAAAATGAATACCTAATGACGAGATCATTTCCTCTCGTATGTTTCAGGTCAAAGAATGCTGATGAAATTTTGATATTTGACGTCAACACGAAAAGTAATAGAGCGAGTTTAATTTCGACAAGCTACACACTACAACCCCTACACAAGGACCCAATCAAAATAAAGTATTATTTATTTTAATCCGTCTGATCACAATATTTTAAAATTCCTTATAATTAAGATAATAAAATATCATTGATGTTCCATATCGATTGATCGATTTACATTTCGGAACATTTACACAACATGTTTCGGTTTTT